TATATTATATTATATTATATTATATTATATTATATTATATTATATTATATTATATTATATTATATTATATATTATATTAATATTTTATATTATACGATACTATACTATATTACATTGGACTATATTACGTAAAAGGCATTGGATGACAATTTGCACTGCATTAATCCATAAGGGCAGCACAATGCAGGCCTACTGTCTACTGTCCGCTGGCCTGCTAAAGCCATCTAGTCATTCAATGCTTTTTATTGACTAGTTTGTCTTTGACAATCACTGACATCGCAGGTACTGCACTTAGAACTGTGTGTCTAACTGGCACGTAGATGCAAGTGGAGAGGGGTGGTGCGTTCTTCTGACTAGAGGGACGCGGCGGTTTGGGGGCGAGCCAAGTTAGTAGTGGAAGTGACTTCATTTGATGGGGCTTTATATCCCTAATGTGTAACTGATAGCCACCCACGCAAACCTTGTTCCACCTTTTCTCTCAGATTTTTCGTTGCTGCAGCGTTGGCATTAGATATTATTCTAATGGCTTTAGAATGCCAGCAATGTGCTGCGCCAGCTCATTGTTGGAGGGTCGTGGACTCACGAGCAGTTGAAGTGTCCTCCTAATGACCCGGTTGCGTGGACGTCTCGAAGAGAGCAAAATCACTATCGTCGAACTATCAATCCTGACCACTGGTGCAAATAGATCGTTTTGTTTCCTAGTAGGGAGAGCATGTGGAGTAGCGAAATAAAGGCTGGGAGACCATATAAACAATATTTGACTGGCTAGTGATTGTTGTAGAGACAGGCCTTTCTGGAAGTTGGAGTACGTAGCGATGGCTCCTTGTGCCATGTCCTGCGGTCGCATGGTACTACATTGAAAAAAAGCCGTATTAATCAGTGCGTGCAAAACCTTAGTGGATTAATAACCTCATCTAAGGGTTTATGGCCACCGCCAATGCCGCAGTCCAGCGGTCTTCGCGATTTAAAAGAACACTAGCAGAAGATTACCCTTCCACACAGTTTCTGGCATTTCGCGCGGTTTCCGTAGATGGCAACGTACACCGCAGACACTCAGGTGCGGAACAGGCACACCAACGGTCATTCTTCTGAGTATGCCAGATTAGTATGCATTGAAAAGTATCTGAAAAACTGTACAAATGAGCATGTTCGCGTTACCCGAGAGGGACTATGCGGAGCGGGTTTTTATTCGAAAGGGCATGCATGGTGGGGCTGGCTGCAGCAGCAGGCTGGCAAGCAACAAGAAGCGGATTTGTTTGGAATTTTCGGGGGTCTTGGGTGTTTGTTATTTTTGCTGCAGAAAATAAACATTTGGCGTTTTCTTTGTCTTTTATCCCTCTACGGCTGCATAACAACAGCCACTGGCTCTGTCTGCTGCAGCACAAAATTTCGGATCCTGTTATTTTCACACATTTAACTACTTCACGCTGGTTAGATGTATTTAATCACTTTTTGAAGCAGTTTTATAGATTTTCGTGGAGAGAGTGTGTCTATACCTTCTCTTTTCAGGAAGGAAAACAGGGTCTTCGACCAGCCAGCCTTTCCGTATTCTTTGCATTGCTTACTGTGGTCTGCAGCATCTTCTTCCGTTGTTCAGCTGCTTCTGCACACATCTTACACAATCGGCCTCAGCTGCCTAGCTGCATGCAGCGCCTGTAGATGCAGGGGATTCCCAGGTCCCCATCCACTCGCCCGGCCGTGGATCCAAGGGGATTTGTTGATTCCTAAGGCTGGCTCCTGCCTTCGCCCCCCGCTCATTTTTCTCTGTGCTGTGTACCCAGCAATAATACAGAAGAAACAGAATACATCCATCTTCAATCCTAACGCACAATGCCGAACTCGGCGCAAAATGAAGGCGGCGAACATCCTCCGGGGCTGCGAGGTCCGCATGCATCCACCTGCATGAAGTGTGTGCAGGCGCGCACGCGTCGACTGGGTGTGCGTGCTTGTCGAATATGTATGTGTATGCGTTTGTCTGAGCTGATTCTCGCCGGAAGCGGGTCGTATCCTATCGAGTTAATGGGTTTTTTGTGTCTGTTTTGTATACGTGTTGTGCTGTGTCTTCGTACTCTCTGCCTGTTTGTCTGTCTTTTTTTCTCGTCCCTCCAGCTGCCTGCTCCTCCTTCCGCCCCACCGTCTGCTTTTGTCCTTCTCTACAGAATCAGCATAGTGGTGGATTTGTTTGCTTTCTGTGTTGTGCGTGTCTTTAGAAGTGCGTCTACCGAAGCGCAAGGCGGCAGAGGCGGCGCCTACCTCTGGTGATTTGCCAACATCAGCAGCAACAGCAGCAGGAGGAGCGGCAGGAGCAGAGGCTGCAGCTGCTAAGCGGGGACGCCGCGGAGGTGGTGGGGCCCCGAAGAGCCCCGGCTCTGGCAGTAACAGCGGCGGGCAAGCTGTCGTGCAGGAGGCCCCTGTGAATGGCTGCAGTAGCCATGCTTTAAGCAGAGCTAGCTTGCACCCCTCTTCGCTGCACAGGGGCCCCGATGCAGAGTCCAAGGAAGATATTATTCGTTCCGAAATCCCCAAGTCTGTTGTCAAGGTGCGTATAAACCTGCGCCGCCATGGACTCTGCGAAAAATGTGTGGCTCTTTATGCTTGTTGTTTCTTCGGTATTTGTTCACTTCTTTGCCTCTTTGTGTCCCTTTTTTAGCTGGCTCATTCTTTGTCCCCTCATTTGGATCTGTCCTTCGTCCGCATGTGCTGCTGTGTCGCGGTTTAGGGTCTCGGGTTGCATGGTTTGATGCATTTGACCTGTTCGTGTCTCCCGTCCTTTCCATCTGTGCTCGCATTCGATAATTTTCTGTCTTTTGTCTTTCGTGTTTGGCGTATACTTTTACATGCCTGTCTTTCTTCTTCGCTTGTCTTGTTTGTTTCTTTCCTGTTTTGCTTCTCGTTGGATTCTACATTTCTCCTTTTTCTACTGGTTGTTGTCCCCTCTTAGGTATTCTGCACACACTGCGAGCCCAACTACAGCCAGCCCTGGACGACTCGGAGGCAGACGAGCTCTACCAGCACTGGTTTCGTTACTGTTGACGCCAACGGCTGCCACTGTATCCTTACGAACGCACACTCCGTGGACAATGCTGCTGTTGTTCAGGTATAAATTCCGTAGGAAAAGAACACATTTGGTTTCTTATTTCGTATTTTGTAGTTTCCACGTGAAGCGGTCGGTGGTTGCATACACTCCAGATAATTCCTTGTAGTTGCCGACGTTGACGCCAATAGCTGCATCTGTAGTCTCAAACGGCCAAGCTGTTCTCAACACCTTAGTTACATACAGTAATTATTATTCGTAATCTGTACGGTATATCTGGGCGACCATGTAATACGTAATATGTTTTCTACTTCCTTCAAATATCGGGTGTTGGAACACACTTCGGTAGGAGGCCAGCGAGCTTCTTCTTCTGTTAACACACTCGCTTCTCACGTCGGGGAGGCAGAACACCTTGCTTGCGGGACACAACTACTCTGAAGCCCGGCAATTCAGGCCACCTACCTGGCTGCGCACCAACCTACCTAGCAAGTGACCTACCTACTTCCAGTCCCTGTGATCCGAGTATTTGACCGTCAGCTGTGTCCTGTGCCTGCGTCTGCTTGTATGTATGTAGGTATTTGCATGTTTGTGCATGCCTTGATGCACATGCATATATATATATATATA